TAGGGTCGAAAAGACAAGGGGGAGAAAAGAGAAGACAGAGGCAGGGGGTAGAAGATGCCGACACCAGTAGAAGATGCCGACACCAGTGAAGACTGAGAAAGGGACTAAGGAGTCCGAGAGCCAGAGGAGCCACATGCAGGCACCTGCAAGGGACAGGGTTTCCGAGCTGGGCCCTGAGCACTGACCTGGGCATCTGGCTGCCTGCTCTGCAGGGAGGGACCCGGAGCCAGGCCTGAGATCCCCTCCCCAGAGGCTCTCCCCCTGCCCTCTGCCTGGCTTCTGCCGCCTCCGCCTCCTTCCTCACCTTTGTTCCCCTCTGCCCCGCCCACCCAGCCACCTGCCAGTCCCTCGCCTCAGCTGCCCCAGACACACCCCCATCTGTGGCCTCACCCTAGGGAGTCACCTCTGCCCCCTGCCCTGGCAGCTCCCTCAGGCTCCCCCACCTCACCCCAATTCAGGTGTAGCCAGAGCCCAAGATCTCCCCCAGTCCTGGGTCCGAGTCCCCTGTCTCTACTCCGCAAGTCTCTGGCCTGGTTTCCATTCTCCCCACCCACCCCCGCAGGTCCCCAGCCCCGGGCCTGGGTCTCTATCCATAGGTCTCCCAATCCATAAGCCTGAGTCTTTGTCTCCGGTTCCCCGTGTCCGGGGCCTCCTCTCCCCCACGCCCCTCCCCGATTTCCACCACCCGGCCCCAGACCTGGGTTTCCATTCCTGGATCCTTCAGCCCCGGTTCTGCTTCTCCATCTCCATCCCACAGCCCTGGTACCCCAGTCCCGGGCCTGCGTCTCTCGGTTCCTCTTGGTCCCACGGCCCCCCAGACTCGGGGCCCTGCCCGGACCCCCGCAGCCTCCTCCCAAGCCTGGTCCTCCTCCAAGCTGCCCCTCCAGTCAGCACCCACCGCCCCCATCTGACCCTGGGGTGTGTGGGGGGCGGGGGCGGGGAGTGTGGCTCCGCTCAGCCAATGGCCGTGCGGCTGGTCTGAGACGCACCAATGAGGGGGCTCGGGGGGCGGGCCCAGCGACGAGAGGCGGAGCGCTCGCGAGACCCGCTGCCATTGTAGTTGAGGGCACGCGCGCACCTCGCCGCTGTCACGACTCCACCGCCAGGGACCAGGCGCCATGTTTGCTGAGGGCACAGGGGCCGGTCCAGCCATGGGATTTAAGAGAGAGGAGGGGCCTGGAGGGAGGTCTTTAGAGGCTGATAGAGGGACGGGCCCTAACCCGGGCAACAAAGACCCAGAGGTACGCAAAGGGCGTTAGTAAGAGACCCAGAGAAGCAGTGCGAGGCCATGGCGGACTTGGAGAGAGAGTGTTGTCTCTTAAGAGAGAGTCAGCCCTGGCCGGTGTGGCCCAGTGGATAGAGCGCCGGCCTGCGGGCTGAAGGGTCCCGGGTTCGATTCCCGCCAGGGGCACATGCCCGGATTGTGGGGCTCGGTCCCCAGTGGGGGGGGCCTGCAGGAGGCAGCCAATCAATGATTCTCTCTCATCACTGATGTTGCTCTCTCTCCTTCTCCCTTCCTCTCTGAAATCAATAAAAATACATATTTTTTAAAAAAGATAAGAGTCAGGCAGACGCAGAGATAAACAAAGACAAAGAAGTAGAATTAAGAATGTGCAAGGTTAAGACTCAAGAAAACCCAGAAGCCCTAACCGGTTTGGCTCAGTGGATAGAGCGTCGGCCTGCGGACTGAAGGGTCCCGGGTTCGATTCCAGTCGAGGGCATCTACCTTGGTTGCGGGCACATCCCCAGTGGGGAGTGTGGAGGAGGCAGCTGATTGGTGTTTCTCGCTCATCAATGTTTCTAACTCTCTATCCCTCTCCCTTCCTCTCTGTAAAAAAATCAATCAAATATATTTTTTAAAAAAAGAAAACCCAGAAAATGACAGAGAGAGAGAGAGGACTGACACTTCTGGAATGAAAACCAGGGAGGAGAGGCTCTTTAATTCACAAATTATTAATAAGCCATAGGGATGTATTGTATAGCATGGGGACTACAGTCACATATTGTATTAACTCTGTAGGAGTGACAGGTGGTAACTGGATGTGTGGTCATTTTGTAACATGTGCACCTGGAACTACTGTAATACTGTATGTCAACTTTTTAAAATGTCACAAACTATTTACCTTGGGCCCAAACCAGAGTGGCGCAGGACATAAACTTCTGCCTAGTGAGTGACTCAGTTACGTGACAAGACAGAGACACGGAAGGAAGATGGGAGATACAGTGTCTGTGAGACCACTAGGTCAGGGGTGAACAGGGAGGGAATGTTTTTTAAAAAATGTTTTTATTGGTTTCAGAGAGGAAGGGAGAGGGAGAGAGAGTGAAACATCAATGAGAGAGAATCATTGATGGGCTGCTTCCTGCCGGCCCCCCACTGGGGATCAAGCCCACAACGTGGTCGTGTGCCCTGACCGGGAATCGAACCCGGGACCCTTCAGTCCACGGGCCGACCCTCTATCCACTGAGCCAAACTGGCTAGGGCCAGGGGAGAGAATATTGAAGGCTCAGAGGCTGAGAAGAACCGAGACCAAGAGACAGAAAGCAAAGATGATGACAGAAACAGAGAGAGGCAGCCCTGGCCGGTTTGGCTCAGTGGATAGAGCGTCGGCCTGCGGACTGGAGGGTCCCAGGTTCGATTCCGGTCAAGGGCATGTGCCTGGGTTGCGGGCACATCCCCAGGGGGGGGGGGGTGTGCAGGAGGTAACAAATCAATAAAATATATTTTTTTAAAAAAAAAGAAACAGAGAGAGGCAAAGGTCTGGTGAAGGTGAAAGAAATCAAGGCAAGAATAATATCGGGAGATGTAGAAACAGACAGAATTGTAGAGAGAAAAGCACCTGCTAAAGGAGAGAGGGGCGGAGCTTGCTCTCTATAAGGAGATGAATGGAGGAAGGAGTTCACTTATTGCCCACAATGTACCTGGTGTTCAACCCAGAGTAGCAACAGCACCAGGTAATATGCATGCCTGCCAAAGGATGACCCAGAGAGAGAGGAACAGAAGCCCCGTGAGACAGAGAGACAGGGGAACACGGCACTTGAGCTTGGGGCCCAGGGAGAAAGGCAGGCAGACACATGGACCAAAGAGGCTGGGACTCAAAGACAGAGAACCAAGTTACAGAGATGAGGGCACAGGGAGGGGCAAGGAGGAAGAGGGAACTGCCCCCAGGTACGGTGACCTTGACTGTAGATAGACCCTTACCTGGTCCACGCTCCTCTGCTGGGAGATGTCCATTCGCCTGCCAGCCCTCTGCTGTGTTATCAACAGGACGCTGGGCCTGCGTGGGAGGCCATGGGAGGGTGGTACGGTCAGGAGTCAGGCCTCATGGTTCAGCCCGGCCTTGGGCGCTGTGGAGGAGAAGTGAATAAGTAGGAGTATCAAGGGCGGACGACAGGAGGCCAGGCTGGATGGGTTTGAAGCCCAGGGCCTTTCCGAAAAGGGAGAAACGGAGAAGAGGTCAACTTTTTCACTGCCCCAACCAGTTCATCATGTCTGGGCCAATCAATCAATAGGGGTGGAGCCTATTTTTACTTTTTTTTAATCCTCACCTGAGGCTATATTTTTCCACTGATTTTTTAGAGAGAGGGAGAGGGAGAAAGGGAGAGAGAAAAACACTGATACTAGAAAGACACATCAATTGGTTGCCTCCCATTTGCGCCCGAACCGGGGGCCTAGGGGTTGAACCTGCCACCCAGGTATGTGCCCTTGACCGAGAATCGCATCTGCCACCCTTTGGTCCTTGTGCTGACGCTCTAACCACTGAGGCAAACTGGCCAGGGCCTAATTTTTTATTGAGCACTTCTTATGTGGGAAGCATTGTCCCATGCATTTTTACTAACTTATATAACGCAGAAGAATATCCTATGTGCCAGGCCTAATGGGCACCCCCTCTTTGTAGATAAGGGAAGTCAGGCACAGAGAAAGTTAAATGAGTTGCCCCAAATCACTGTTATTGGAATTTTAATATTCCTATGTCTCTGCTCCTCCCTGGATCTCCTTTTCCCGCCTCTTTCTAGGTCCCCTCACCCCCCCTGCCCCCCAAGGCCAGTGTTTGTCCACTACCCTTCTGGGTGCCTCTTCCTTCTCCCCTCTAAATCTCTGTCTCCCTCTAAGTCAGCGGTTCTCAACCTGTGGGTCGCGACCCCTTTGGCGGTCCAACGACCCTTTCACAGGGGTCGCCTGAGACCATCCTGCATATCAGATATTTACAACACGATTCCTCACAGTAGCAACACTACAGTGATGGAATAGCAACGAAAATAATTTTACGGCTGGGTCACAACGTGAGGGACTGTATTTAAAGGGCCCGAAGGTTGAGAACCACTGTAAGTCTCTCCTCCCCGCTCAGAAATTTTTTTTTGCCCATCCCCGCTCTCTACCCCACCCCCAAGCCCGAGACCTCAGTCGGCCTCCTCTGCGCTCCAGCACCGTGCACATCCCTCACCACGAACCCGCTGGGCCATTTGAATCTCTCTGGCTGAGAAAAGCCGCCCCCGCCCCGGTGGCAGAGGCTGCAGAGGGATCAGGGAAGGGCCCTCTGGAGGCAGAGGGAGCAGCGAAACCTAAAAGGTAAAAATGCAGGCTGGGCTGCAGCAAGGAAGATCTCGGGTTAGACCTCCAGCAGGACTTCCCAAGCTGCGGCCGCGCCTGGAAGCACAACACCAGATAAGACAGTCTGATAAGGAAATGACCCGAGTGCGGAGTCAGAGGTTTCCCCGCGGTCTAGACCAGCCCCTCCTGCCCCGCCTCCTCCTCGCCAACATTCTTCCTGCCCAGTCCTCCTGAAGTCACAGAGAGGTTGTCGGCTTCGGGCCAGAGAGTCCCGGCGCGACCAGTCCTCCCAGGTCCGCGCGCGACATCTGTCTCGCTCCCAGATCCCTTTCTTCCGGAAGAGCATCGAGACCAGGGTCTGGCTAGGGCTAGAGAGGCCCCGACGTGCTGGCCCTTTTTCCTCTTTGGTTGTCCCGCCCCCCCCAATTCCGGAAACGCCTATCTAGCCGTCAGTCCGATTCACCATAGAGAAGCCCTACTCGCCTTAGCGTGCCGGGTCGCGCTAGTGTGACGTCACGTAGGCGCCGCTCGCTGCAGGCTTTCCCCGCCCACCCGGCGCCGCTCTCTCTTTCCGGACCTGGTGGAGCAGAAGGCGCCATCATGGTGAGTGAGCTTTGAAGGCGTCTGGGGCTGGGCCATCCGCCTCCATCCACCGCGGTTTCGGGCTGGGGGCGCGCCAGAAGAAGGCAGGGGCCCTGGGGGTGTCCGAAGGAGGCGATTCCTGTGGTGGCGGGGCTATTTAGGGGCCCCCGAAGAGCAGGGATGCGTCAGTCCTGACAGCCTCCACCCCTCCCGTATTTCCCATGATAGCTCCCATTGAATAGATGCCCGAGGTGAGCTACGAGGTGGCTAAGTGATACCACCGGGGTCGAAATGCCAGGAAGTGGCGGAGCCAGGATCCTAGGCGCTGGTGCCACAGCCATTCAGCCTCCGGCCTTCTGCCGCCCCTGCCCGGACCTGTCACTCCCCAACCCGAAAAGTTGGGTTCTGGGGGGGTGTCGAGCGTCCCGAGCCCGGGTTTGGGGACAGGCAGGCCTCCGTGCGAGTCTGGGCTCCCCGCCCGCCCTGTGATCTGGCTCCCCCGGCCTGTGCCCGACTTGCTCCATCTTTTTCATGGGAGCACAGCAGTCCTGCCTCTCAGGTTCGAGTTTGGGGAGAGGTTGTGTGACGTGCTCACCATGGACTCGTGCATAAGTGTTGGTGAAACGGCAGCTGGCATAACAGTCTGCAAAGGAAACCTCCCCGAAACAGGCCGGGGGATCGTGGCAATGGTGGCCCTTCCTGAGTTTTCTTAACGCTCAAGTGGGAACCTTCTCAGTAAAGGTTCCTTCTTAGCGCCGGCCGGTGGTGGGAATGTTTTCTTCGGCCCTTCTCCATGCGTGGGAGCAGCATTGAGAACTTACGCGCCTTATCGAAAGAGTCAATTTACAAAGAAATAAAAATGTTGGCTGAGTCAATGTGGCTTCTGTGTTAAAACTTCCCCCAACGTGCTGGGTGCCACGTAAAGGCTTTGCATGTAGGATTAGCCCCTTTGGACAGGGGGGTCCTTTTGAAGTCCAGAGAGTTGAAGCGACTTTCCCGGGGGTGGACCTGGGATTTGTTGTGTCTGCAGAGACCGGGGCTCTGGCTCCCTCTGGGAGACGATCATTGGTAATGGTCACGGGGTGAGTAATCTGCAGCTCACAGTGGGGTCTACGGTCCCCCCCTTTACCCTGCAGGGAGTCGACATCCGCCACAACAAAGACCGAAAGGTTCGGCGCAAGGAGCCCAAGAGCCAGGACATCTACCTAAGGCTGTTGGTCAAGGTGAGGTGGGGGCCGGTGGCCCTTGGGCAGGGCCACCCCAAACCTGCAACGTCCAGGGCTTCCATGCTCGTGTCGCCCCGGGCTCCTCTCAGCGGCTTGCCCCTGGGCTCACGTCTCAGAGCTTCTGGAAGTTCGGTGCTTCCAGCTTCTGTGTTGTGTACAGCTGGGGGGTTGGGGGTGAAGGGGGGGAGGATTTTCTGGGGCCCTGACCAGGATGGACCTGGGCTGGCTCTCCCCGGAGCTCCCAGAGATCAGGGAAAGCCAGAAGGCATTTGTTTGCCCCTAGAAAGTTGGGAGGGAGGGGAGTCTGGCCTGGAAGTTCTCGTTCCTCATTTTCCCTTTCCCTCCAGCTATACAGATTTCTGGCCAGAAGAACCAACTCCACCTTCAACCAAGTGGTGCTGAAGAGGTTGTTCATGAGCCGCACCAACCGGCCGCCTCTGTCCCTTTCCCGGATGGTGAGGGGCTGCCGGGGGGACAGCCAGCCCGCCCGGGGAGCAACTGGATTGTGTCGGGAGCTGGGCTGTGGGAGGGAGGGTGGGCTTGGAGCTCTGACCCTCGGGCTATAGTTCAGTTCAGCTGGCGTGGCTGCTTGGCCTTGTGAGGTGGGGTGGCTACAGTGGCTTCATGAGGTCATCCTGAGGCTTCGGGTCATGCAACACAAGTCTTAGATGCCAAGGACCCTCCTGGGGGAGGTCTGTTGAGAAACCTGGAACCTAGCTTAGGCCTGTGCTAGTGTGAGAGATGGGTGAGGGTGGGCTTAGGGCCAGCTGTCCTGGTCCTTGGTTGCCTGAAGCTGCGGGATTGGATTCAGACCCCAGGCGAGACCTAATGTGGATCTCCTCCCCCAAAGATCCGCAAGATGAAGCTTCCTGGCCGGGAGGGCAAAACCGCCGTGGTTGTAGGGACTATAACCGATGACGTGAGGATCCAGGAGGTGCCCAAACTGAAGGTGAGTGGGGAGGGGCTCTGAGTGGGGTGAAGTCCTGCGTCCCTGGGCAAGCCCCTCTGGGCGCTGCTGACTGCTGGCTCTTGAGCCAGACAACCTGCGTTTGAGTCTAGATCTCTGTCACTTTGTCATCTTTGGACAAAGTCCTAAACCTTTTTTCTTTGTTTAATATGTTTTTTATCGATTTCAGAGGAATGGAGAGATGGAAATATCAATGATGAGAATCATTGATTGGCTGCCTCCTGCATTCCCCACTCTGGGGATTGAGCCTTCAACCCAGCCATGTGCCTTTGACCGGAATCAAACCTGGGACCCTTCAGTCCGAGGGCCAGTGCTCTATCCACTGAGGCCCTAAATCTTTTTATGCCTCAGTTTCCGTAAGGCGTAATGGCTTTGAATTGCTGCCTTCTAAGGAGTTTCTGGAAGTAAAGTGATAAAAACAGCTGTTGTCCACTTGGGTTGCTCCCTCTAACAGGAGTTAGTTATAGGGCTGAGCAGGCAGCAGGGCTTCTCTGTGGGGCCAGGGCAGTGAACGTAAGTCCCAGCAGCCCCTGGCGGCCATGCAGGGGGCTCTGGCTGGACCTGTCCTCTGTGTCCCCTAGGTGTGTGCCCTTCGTGTGAGCAGCCGCGCCCGGAGCCGCATCCTCAAGGCTGGGGGCAAGATTCTCACCTTCGACCAGCTGGCCCTGGACTCCCCCAAGGGCTGTGGCACCGTCTTGCTTTCTGGTGAGCGATGCTTAGTCTCCATGGTGGGGCCAGGTCCCTGTGTGAGTGAGGGGGTGAGCCGTGTGACTGGGACTTCCCCACCCCACCTCCCATCAGCCTGAGCCCAGGAAAGGGCCTCGTTGCAGGAGCTCTGGGTGCTGGGTTTCTGCCTGATCTGCCCCTTCCTTCCCTCCCCCAGGTCCTCGCAAGGGCCGCGAGGTGTACAGGCATTTCGGCAAGGCCCCAGGAACCCCCCACAGCCACACCAAGTGAGTATGCCAGCCTGTGCTTCAGACCTGACTCCCGCAGTGCAGTCGAGGCCTTGCCATGCTTCCCTTTCTCAGACCAGCCAGCCTCCGGCCTCCCTACAGCTCCCCGCCTCGTCCTACCCACTCGCCTTCCAGACTCACAGCTGTGCTCCCTGTGCAGCTGGTATTAAAGGGGCAGCTGGTTTAGGCCGAGTTGGCATCTCCCAGGTGGGGTCTGCATTTTACCCGCCTCCGGGCTCTCAGGTTGACCCCCAGGGCCTGGTGCTGGCTTCACCCACTTTGCCATCTTGGCTTCCTGCGCGGCCAGGCTTGCCCAGTTGGTATCAGTACTGGGCCCCCTCCTGTCCTGGGCTGCGCTGCTAGAGGCAGCATCACTGGCGGTGTCCCCGCTACGATCGGCCCTGACTCCTCTCTCCTCCCCACAGACCCTACGTGCGATCCAAGGGCCGGAAGTTCGAGCGTGCCAGAGGCCGCCGGGCCAGCCGCGGCTACAAAAACTAACCCTGAATCTTATCATGTTATTAAAGGTTTTGGATGCTGATGGCCTGTGTGTGTTACTGGGGGTGGAGTTGGGAGGTGAGCCTGTGGGCCAGGAGGCATTTGTTCGGGGAATTGGACACCCGCGCAGGTCTCCATGGAGACTAGCCCCTCCTCCGCCAGGTGTTCCTCCGCCAGCCTTCCTTCCGCCTCAGCCTGCGGGCGCCCTCTGGCGGTCAGGTCTGCTCAGCTGCTTCCGGGCCCCTGCACCTGTTGGACCCTTGCAGCCCGCTATTGAGGAGGCCCCGCCTCCTTCCCAAGAGCCAGGTGTCAGGTGTTCCTGCACCTGCTTCCTGGGATCAGCCACACCCCTCTTAAAGGACCCGTGGTCCCCTCCCCTGCACTAAAGATACTGGGCAGGCTTGGACAGGGAAGTGTGGAGGTGGGGCTGCTGTGGGCGCAGGTGAGGCACCCCCTTTCCTGAAACCTGAGTCTGGCAGGCCGCTGGCCTCTGGGGAGGCAGCCTGGTGAGTGCTCCCGGGTTGGGACCTCATACCCTGGCCCCCACACCCCAGGCCTCCCCGGGGACCTGCGTGGGCCCTCCCTGTGTTTACACAAGGGGCTGGGTTCCCAGGATGCCAGGGTGAAGCCTGATGAATGAGGCCAGTCGGCCGGAGGAAGAAGCAGAAATAAGCTCAGGCTTGAAGACCCGGATTACATTGTCCTCCCAAAAAGGCAAGAGGAGCAGCAGGGGTTGGCGGGCTGGCTGGGCAGGAGGGAGAGGGGACCTGGCTTTATTCCTCTTCCTTCTCTTGCAGGGTTAGTCGCTGTGCCCTGGAGGAGGGGGGCATCTGGGTGCTGGGATTGGAAGGCGGGGTTGCACGAATTGGGGTCCACAGGTTGGGTCAGGAGCCTCAAATGACGTAGAGTGGTCCTGTCCAACTTCCATTAGGCATAAGTATGCAGTCAGCTAGCAGGAGATAGTGGAATTCAGGCCCCCAAACCAGGGATCAGCATAGATCAGAGGACAGGCAGGGGCACCCAGTCCCGGGAGGTGGCCCTATCTAGGCTGCCCTCAGGCTAGAGGGGTTGAGGAGGTCATGGGCCGGTAATGAGACCCCCAGTGGAGCGCTCTCCCCACTGTAGCAGCCTGAGCGGGTGTGAAGGCCCACCCACTGGGGAGACCGAGCTCCTGGCTGGGAAGGGTGATGCCCAGGCTGAGGGCTGGAGTACATTTCTCCAGAGCTCAGGAGGGTCCACAGTGGTCGGCCGGTGAGAGCTGTGAGCTAGCCGGCCAGTTGTCAGGAGGAGCATCTCCTGGACACAGAGGGGAGTTCCACAGGGTGGTCAGGCATTGAGCCTGTTGGTCTTCCAGCCAATCGAAGGGACGGCCAGAGGGTCAGTTAGACGTGCTGTCGGCCGGGGTCACACAGGCAGCCCGCTCTCCCTTTGGTGAGAGACATTCAGGTGGTTGCAGCCAGGCAGGTAGCCTGTTGCCTGGAGATGGCCAGGCAGTAGTGGGCCTTGGGCCGGGACAGGTAGGGGGTCAGCCTGACCACGCCTGAGCCCGCGGGAGGGCTGGTGGGGCCAGCAGGCTGGAGGCTGTCGTGTGCCGGAGCAGAGATGGGCAGCTGACAGGTCACCGAGTTCGGAGACAGTGCCAGGTGCTCAGCCAAACCCACATGCAGGACCACTTGTGGGGGCAGCCAGATCATCACACAGCTGACAGCAAGGTCGGATGGCCGGCCAGCCATGGTGGCTGCAGGCTGGCGGGCAGTTGGTCTGAGCAGCGTCGGTCGGCCGGTCATTTGCGCAGCCTGATGGTCAGGACAGCACAGCGAGCCACTGGATTCCTCAGCTGCCCTGCAAGCCTGGCATAGGAAGCTGAAAGGAGACCCTGATGGTCAGTGCCTGGGAGACGGCCACACCCTCAGACACCCAGCCTCAAGGTCCGCCCCGGTGGCCCCATGGCGGCCTCGCAGCTGGCAGCCCTGGAAGGAGTGGCGTCGGCGGCCGGGGAGCCGCCCCTGACGGAGACCAGCCCGGGCTTCCTGTATTCCGAGGGCCAGCGGCTGGCGCTCGAGGCCTTGCTGAGTGAGGGTGCCGAGGCCTTCGAGGCGTGTGTGCAGCGCGAGGAGCTGCGGCCCTTCCTGAGCCGGGCTGAGCTCCAGGGCCTGGCCGCCGCGGCTGAGGACTGGACGGCGGCCAAGCAGGAGCCCGGCAGCGCCGAGGGAGCCGTGGCCAGCGGGGACCCCCTCAGCCTGACCTACTGGCCGGGACAGTCGGAGGAGCCGGTGCCGGTGCTGCGGCTGGGCTGGCCGGAGGACTCGGGCTGGAAGGGCATCACCCGGGCGCAGCTGTACACCCAGCCGCCGGGCGAGGGCCACCCGCCCCTCAAGGAGCTGATGCACCAGGAAATCCAGGCCGCCTGCAAGGTGGGGGCAGGGCCTGGGGCGCCTGGAGTCCATTCCCCAGACCCAGACATCCTCCCTGCAGCTCCCGGCCCGGGAGCGCCATCCCCTGGGCCAGGGATTCGCACCCAGGCCCTCCGGGGACTGTCAGGTTCACATGCCCGGACCCAGGAGTCCACACCCCCAGACTCCGTCCTCGGCCTCTTAGATATGAGGGACCCCATCCTTAGCCCTTACACATCCATGCCCCTTGGGCCTGATTATGATCCCTCTTGTCTCAGTCATCGACCCTCCCCACCTCCCCCGCCCCCAGGGAGGGCCCGGTTGTCTCCCCTGCGGCCCCCTGGCCGGCCCCTTTTTATTTAAAAGGTTTGGTGTTTGCCAGCTCCCACGCCAAGTACCTTACCTGGGTTAACGTGTAATTCTCACAAGGGCCCTGTGAGGTTGGGACTCACTACATCCATTTAGGAGATGGGGAAACTGAGGCATGGGACGTTAAGTCTCCCGCCTGGAGTGGCCAAGCAGAGACTTGAACCAGGAATCAGGGCTCAGGGCTCATCCCCACACCTTCTGCCTGCAAGACCCAGGTCCCTGGCAGCCCCCCAGCCCCAGAGCTCCCCTTGCTGACCCAGCAGATCAGCCCTCCCTCCGCCCCTGGCTCCAGGGCGCCCCCAGGACCCAGGTGTGCAGGTTCCCACAGTGCACTGCGCTGCACAGGCATCCAGCCACGCCCGGAGCAGGCCCAGCTCGGGGACCCCGTTCACCACTGTCGACATGATGACAGTGGCGCAGCCGAGCCTGGGGGTTCCAGAGAGTTCTGCCCCTTGTTCACGTGCAGGCTCTATGTAAGCACCCCACAGAGCCGGGCCCTTAACCTCAGCCCTCCAGCATCTCACCGCTAGGGCCCCACCTTCTGAGGGTCCCCCAAGCCCCAGGCTGTATCCACAGCCCCTCTCCCCGCCCCCCAGCTGGTGGCCGTCGTCATGGACATATTCACCGACCCAGACCTGCTTTTGGACATGGTGGATGCTGCCACCCGCCGCTGGGTGCCCGTCTACCTGCTCCTGGACCGCCAGCAGCTGCCTGCCTTCCTGACCCTGGCCCAGCAGCTGGGGGTGAATCCCTGGGCCACTGAGGTAGGGCCTGGCGGAAGGGACCTGAGTCCCCATCCCCCTGGTGCGGGGGGCAGCGGAGGGAGACCCGTCCCCGGGGTGGGTCCTAGGCCAGCGAGGTGGGTGCCAGCGGAGAGGGTTCCCAGGGATCTGGTGCCCATGGCACTGGGGGAAGCAGGTGGGCCTTCCCACAGGGTCCCTCTGAGTTGGGGGAACCCCCAGGAGACCCCTGAATCCCACGATTGGTGGCCCTGGGGAAGCTGGGACAAACTCCACAAAGTGATGGGGGGGGCGGGCAGCCTGGGGACCCCCCAGGTGGAAGTCTGTGAGGTCCGCCTCAGCGAGGCTGTGTCCCCCCACCTCCCAGAACCTGGACATCCGAGTCCTGCGGGGCTGCAGTTTCCAGAGCCGCCGGCGACGGCAGGTGACGGGCGGGGTGCGGGAGAAGTTCGTGCTGCTGGACGGCGAGAGGGTCATCTCAGGGTCCTACAGGTACAGCCCTCACCCCGCGTCCTGACCCCAGTCTCCAAGCACGCGGATCCCCACCCCGCCTCTGGCTCCTCGTCTGTGAAATGGGTCTGAACACCTGCCAGGAGAGCGGTTGTCGTTGGGACCGGGCTTAGGGTTGGAGCCAGGCCTGGCCCCCGCTCCAGGCCCTGCTATTGGCCTGGCTGGTGGCCTGGGTGAGTCTTCACCTCTCTGACCGGCTTCCTCTCTGGAGAATGGGGCCTGCAGTGTGTACGTAGGACTTTCCAAACCGGGGGGCCAGGCCTGGAGTCCCAGGCGGCCTGGGTGAGTAACGCCACCTCTCAGAGTGTCCGGGAAGGAACGAGACCTGGTGTGCCAATGGCTCGGTCCTCGGGCCGTCAGATGGCCGGCCTCTGCTCTCTTTGGGATCCGACCGCCCCTGGGCCCTGGTTCTGCAACTTCTTAGCTCTGTGACCCTGGGCCTCCCCCGCCTTGAGGAAAGCGTGGATAATGAGCAACCACCTCATTGGGTCACAGCATGGGGGGGCAGGGGCGCGGGGATCTGGGACAGACGGGCTCAGTTTAAGCCCTAGCTCTGCCAGTTACTGGGGGTGTGACTTTGGGCACCTGACTTCACCTCTGTGTGCCCCCTGCTCACCAGAATGACACGCTGAGTGACTTTAGGGCAGGGGTGGGGAACGTCCGGCTCTTGGGCCGTAGAAGTCCCTCAAAATCATTTGGTTTGGCCCTGCTTGCCACAAGGCATTAGGGGAGAGTTAATTAAATATTTGACCAAATATAGCAGGCTGATTTTTGTTTTTGTTTTTGTTTTAAATTCAGAGAGGAAGGGAGAGGGAGAGAGAGACAGAAACATGAATGATGAAAGAGAATCATGGATCGGCTGCCTCCTGCAGGCCCCTTACTGGGGATCGAGCCCGCAACCCGGGCATGTGCCCTGACCGGGAATCGAACCGAGATCCCCTGATTCATAGGTCGATGCTCAACCACAGAGCCACGGCGGCCAGGCTAGCAGGCTGATTCTTAAAAAATATGGTTTTACTGATTTTAGAGAGAGAGGAAAAGAGAGGGAGAGAAAGAGAGATCAAAACATCAGTGATGAGAATCATTGATCTTGATCGGCTGCTTCCTGCACACCAAAGCATCAAATCATTGATTGAGCCCACAACCCAGACCTGTGCCCTGACCGGGAATTGAACCGTGACGGCCTGGTCGATGTGGAACCATTGAGCCACACAGGATGGGACGGGCTGATTTTTAAGTTGAGAATTTTGTGTGGCCCGAGAATGATGTTATAAATATCCAAATGGGCAGAAAAAAGGTCTCCCACCCCTGCTTTATAGAGTGAGGTTTCCCGGCGAAGGTACTGCCCATGTCTGGGGCCGGAGGGCTGTGTCCGGAGCGGAGCTCTCCTGGGCATTGCCGGCTGCGTCCCTGGCCTCCATCCAGTAGATGTCGTTAGCATCCCCTGTCAGGAACCTTTGCCAAAGACTCTGGTGTGTAGCCTTGAACATGACTCAGGCTGACTCAGAGGACTCGTTACAACCCAGATTTCTGGGCCCCACGCCCATCCAGCCGGCCTGGGCTGGGGCCCGAGGATTGGCCTTGCCGGCAAGTTCCAGTTGGTCGGGAACCACACCTAGGGAACCACCAGGGCCAGGACTGAGACGTTCCAGAGGGAATCTGCCTTCCCAGCTTCACGGGAGATTCGGTGGGAGAATGGTCCCTGGCACGGAACATAACAAGTGCTTCCTACACATCAGCTGTTGTTTATTAATATTATTTTGACCGGATTTCATCGACTCTAAGGGACCACAATGAAAGGGAGCTTCCTGATCAAATTGGGGAAAGATATGGCGTCTTAGAAGCAACGAAATGCAATATTACAGCCAAACCCAGGGGCGCGTCCCACCGCCAAGTCAGGCTCTGGCCTGGCGGAGCCCTGGGTCCTGGGGGGTGGGGGTGGGGTGGACAGCCGAGAATGGATGAAGCCAGGGCCACGGGGGGTTTGTCTAGGGCCTCTGGCCTTTGGTGGGGGGGAAGGGGGGAGCAGGCAGGGGCACAAGGAGCAGCAGAGCCCGGGGTCCTGCCCTCCGCGCTGGTCACAGTCCGTGAAGCAGCCGCAGGGCGCCCAGCGCCAGGCCGGTGGCGGCCCCCGCTCGCAGGCCGCCTGCGGGGGTGGGGGCCCCGTTGCACAGGTTGCCGTCGCAGCATTTGGAGGTGAGGCTGTAGGTGACGCCCTGGTAGGTGACGGGCTCCTGGTGGCCACACTGCGCGGACTCCAGGCAGCCTTTGTTGATGACGGGGCCGAGGTCGGGGGCCGTCCCCTGGCCCATGAAGCACTCCTCGTCGTCGCCGCAGGTCATGGGGATGCCGGGGCAGTCGGAGGAGTCGGTCAGCTCACAGAACATGCAGTCCTTGGCCCCTGTCGTGCCGGGGGGCAGAGCCAGCAGCAGCAGCAGTAGCCAGCCGGGGACCACGGTGGCCTGGCGGTGGCGACAGGGCCCGAGCCGGGCCCTGGGCGTCGGGGACCTCCCGGAACAGCTGAGAGACCTCCGCATGCCCACGAGGCCTTTGCCCCTGGTTCTGGCCTCCCAGGGTCAGCAGCTGGAGTGTCCTTGGGTCCCAACTCTCCGTGTCCCTCTCAGAAGCTTCGTCGTGACCACGGTCTCCAGCTCCAGGGTCTCAGAAGCGTTCCCGGGACAGAGACCAGCCAGCCGCTGCTGTCCGACCAGCCTTTGTGGAGCGGAATGGAGTGACCTCACAGACCCCCCCTAGGGTTCCACTGCCACTCTGGGGGTGAGGTCATGGGTGGGCGAGGGTGTCACAATCTGAGGGGCAGGTTGGCCCGCTGACCTGCCAGGGAGCGAGGTCACAGCCACCCCGCCCAGGTAAGAACGCACGGCCCAGCCTTCACCGTCCTGGCCACTCAGTCGTCGGCCCTGCTGGGTGCCGGGAGCTGTGCCTGCCAGGTGCCCCTGCAAGCCCATTTCTCAGATGAGCAAACCAAGGCTCAGGAGGAGAACGTGGCGTGTCCAAGGCCCTAGAGCCGGGATTAGAGCCCAGGTTTATTTAATCCCAAAGAGGGCATTTATTGAGCACCTGCTGTGTGCAGGACCAGTGTTTACAATATTATTTTTATTGATTTCAGAGAGGCAGGTAGAAGGAGTGAGAAACGATGATGAGAGAGAATCATCGATTGGCTGCCTCCTGCACACCCCCCTACAGGGGATTGAGTCCGCAACCTGGGTGTGTGTCCTTGACTGGAATCGAACCTGGGACCCTTCAGTCCCGCAGGCCAATGCTCTATTTACTGAGCCAAACCAGCCAGGGCAAGCCCAGTGCTTTAGATAGCAAGCGCCGTAATGGCAGGACTGGGAAGGGCACGGCTCACCGCAGATCCAGCCTCTAGCGCTGGGCACGTGCTGGGCACGGTGCAGGGAGCTCGACCCATGTTCTCTCCTCGAATCTTCCTGCGTTTTAGCTCCAGCTTCCAGCTGAGCAAACGGGCACACGGAGCAGGCACAGCCAGAGCCTGGCACACAGCCAGCGCTTAACACATGGGGGTCACCACAGGAAGCAGCCGCGTCTCAAAACAGTCCCCGTGGGCGTCAGAAAAGGAACCCCATCTCATTTCAGAGGGGGAAACCGAGGCAACCCTGTGCGAACCGGCAGAGCCCAGGTTTAAAGTCAAGTCTGAGTTCAGATGATCATTTAACTTTCTTAATGCGTTGTCCTCACAGGGAAGGCGGTCCCATTCTACAGAGGGGGATGTTGAGGCCAGAGGGCGGCCGGATTTTCCTGAGGGCCGGGTCACACAGCCTGCCCTGTGAGCAGGTTGGGGACGGGTGATGGGGACTGGATCTCGGGCTGTGCAGAGGTCCTCACCCCCTCTCCGTGCCCCCAGCTTCACATGGAGCGACGCACGCCTGCACCGCGGCCTGGTGACCCTGCTGACGGGCGAGATCGCCGACGCCTTCAGCCGCGAGTTCCGGACACTGTACGCGGCCTCCTGGCCGCTCCCGCCGGCGCCCACCCCGGGCCCCTTCGTCAGCACCCTGGGGGGGCTGCAGCTGGCCCGCGGCCCGCACAGTGTGGCCCGCCGCTGCTCCGTGGCCCCCGTGTCGCCGCCGCCGCCTGACGTGTCGCCGCTGACCCAGCGCCTGGCCGCCTGCCGAGTCCTGGACAGAGGCGGGCGGGAGGCCCAGGCCGTCCCGGGGCCTGCGCTCAGCGACATCCTGAGGAGCATCCAGCGGGCCCGGGCCCCCAGCGGCCCTCCAGCCCGGCCCAGCCGATCCCTGTGGGACCTGAGCCGCCTGTCCCAGCTGTCGGACTCCAGTGACGGTGACGAGGTGAGACCTGAGACCCGTGGCCACCTGAGAATGACAGCAGCTGGTGGGGGGTGGAGGTGGCTAAGGCCATGGAAGGGGAAGAAAGGGCTTGCTGGTTCAAGGTCGTCCAGTTGGGCTCAAGGGCCCTTACTCTGTTTTCCGCGGGCCTACTATGTGCCTGGCCCCCGGGAGGTCGGGAAGCCAAGCTGCTTGCCTGAGTTTCTAATCACAGGGCATTTCCTGAACCCACACTGTGTGCTGGGCAGGGGAGTGCCGGGCGGCAAGGAGCAGAGACCCCCAAGAGCCCGGGGTGTGAATCCTGCCATGATAGACCAGCCATGAGAACCGGGGCGGGGGTGGGGCGGGGCGGGGACTTGCCGTCTCTGAACCTCCGTGTTCTCATCTAGGAAATGGGCTGAGCGGTAGCTTCCTCCTCAGTTTGGTTGGGAGAAGGAGTCAACAGAATGAAATAGAGTCACATTTGCTCTTTCACTAGAAATTCCCCAAATGGAATTTATTTCACAACGTCCTCATCCCAGGTCAGCGAGGCAAGATGCTCACCATGCACATTGTTGCGGAGGGGAAAGCTGAGGCCAGCGGAGAGGTTGGGTAACTTGCCAAGGTGGAAACAGGGGTCTTTCCTGGGCACCTTCCCATGTGCCAGGCCCCAGGCCAAGCGCTTTCACAGAAGCAGTTTACATTTAACCTTTGCCACAGTCCTCAGAGGCGATGTTATTGCATCTCTCCACCCATCCATCCATTTCACAGATGGGAAAACTGAGGCACCGGGGAGGATTGGGACTCAGCCCTGGTTGCCTCCCGGGTGGGGCTTTGACATTCTCTCTGCCCTGGCTTCCCAGATTCCAGTGTCATGAGCTTAGAGGGGACCCTTCTCCCCCTGCTTAGACACTTGGGGTTCAACAGGGCCTGCCCCAATTCTCTGGGGGACCCTGGGCATGTCAAGGAGGCTGTTGAGAAGGTCAGAGCAGAGCCATGTGGGAGAAACAGGCGGACCTGGGGGCCAGGATCTCTGTGAGCTGTACCCCCTCTAAGCCTCAGTTTCCCCACCTGCCAAGTGGGAGCTAGAGGCCGGTCCTGAGGGTGAGGGAGAAGGAGCCCAGGAATTGCCTCCCTCGGTCCCAGGGGAGAAGGGGGATGGGCAGGGCAGGGCCAAGGTCCTCGCCTCCACCCGGTCCTCTGCCGCCCTCACCCAGCATCACCTCCCTTGGCAAATATTTGCTGCCCCCACCCGGGCGGCTGCTGGCTGCTTCCTGTTCCTCCCCAGCTGCAAACTGCAGGGTGGGGGGGACACACCTCCTAGCCCCTTGGGAGCTCCGGGGGTCCCAGGCCTCCCAGCTCACCTCCCTCTGGTTCTGGAGCTCAGGGGCCTTCTCCCCTCCCCTCCGTGTCATGCCCTCCTTCCCTCCCTCCCTCTTCTGTGTCTTTCTCTCTCCTGTCTCATCCTCTTCCCCTTTATCCTCTGTCTCCCTCGCCTCCTCCCTCCCTGGACTCAGCCCCCAGAGCCTCTGCTCACCTCCTCCTCTCTCCCTCCACAGCTCAAGAAGTCCTGGGGCTCCAAGGACACCCCAGCCAAGGCCCTGATGAGGCAGCGGGGCACTGGCGGGGGGCCCAGGAGTGAGGTGGACTCCCGTCCGCTGGCCAGGCCCCAGCCCTGGGGCGGGCCCCTGCCCCTCATCCCTGCCGGCCGCCTCTACTACCTCTCCCCGACCAGGAGGAGGTTTGGAGACGATGCTGCACCCACAGCCCCGGAACCTAGGGGTGGCCGGCAGCCAGGCTGGGCCACCCAGGCAGGACTCAGGGGGCGACCCTGACAGAAGCCAGAGCCACCCCGGGCTGGCCCAGCCCAGGAAGGCTGGACGACAGTGCTGTGCCTCCCGCCTCAGAGTCTGGGAAGCAGGAAGGATTTCCCCGCAATGATCCTAGAACTTGGGCAAGTCCCACGCCCACCCGAGACCTCAGTGTCCCGGTCTACAAAATGGGCAGACCGTCTGGAGGAGCTGGGATCCCAGAACATTGCACATCCCCCGCCCCCCCCCCCCCCGGGGCCATGTGAGGACTTCTCTGAGGGGAGGCCTGGCGGAGGGCCCCAGGCTGGGCTGTGCGTGGGGACCCTGGGGGCGGGGTGTCCCTGGGGCCACCTGCTCAGAAGCCCGGGCAACTGAGCTGGGTTCAGGGGAGGAGGGACCTCAATCCAGGGGGCTGAGCTGAATGAGGAGGGACTCAGATCGGTGGGGACACGCCTGCTGGGGGCGGCTCAGGGCCCTGGTGACGGGCTGGGCAGGTGCTGGGACAGTTTTATGGGCGCCGAGGGGTTAGTTGTTGGGGCTCCCTTTGACCTCTGCCCAGAATAAACCTGCCTCCTGCCCACAACTTGCATTCTCCGCAGCCTAGTGGGGGACCCCGGGGTCCCGGCCACTCCTCCCTCAGATCCAGGGGTCCAGGCCGCAGCACCCCGACTCTGGGAAGTCAGGCGCCGGGCGCTATGGGGCTTCTGAGTCACCCACCCCATCGGGGCGCCAGGTGGGGAAGAGGACCCCGCCCTCGGGAGGCCCTGGTGCGGGTGAAGGGTCCCCGCCCGGCCTCGCGCGCCCCCTGCCGCCCGCCCGCGGTATGCCACCGCCACAGCACATCGAGGAGCCGGCGCAGGAGCGATGCGTTTATTCTCGGGGTCACGGGTGCGGGTGCTCGGAGGCCTGGTCTGGGCTGGGGCTGGGTGCGGGGCTGGGCTCGGGGTCCGGACTGGCATCCTCGGGGTCCTCGTCCCAGGGGAAGGTCGGCATCCCCCGCATCTGCTCGCGGTAGACGCGGTCGAAGGCTTCGCTCTGCGCCACCGTGAAGTGGTTCTTCCAGTCTCCGCAGACCCCTGCGGGGAGGGGGGCGGGGTCAGCATCCGGAGCGTTGCCCCGACATCCCAGCGCCCCCTTCGGCCGGAAGCCCCGCCCTCCCCCGCCCCGCCCCATCTCCTCCCGCCGCCCCCTCCCCTCCTGTGGTTGCTGACTCACGCCCGCCGCCTGGACCTGGCAGACCCCGGGCGCCACTCTTGCCTCCTCCCTCCATGGGGTCCCCCCCTGCCCTGCTCATCCCGCCTGCAGACCTCTGTCCTTCCGCCACTGGACCCCGAACCCCTTAAATCTCTGCCCAGAACATCCCCCCGCCCCACCCCCACCCAGCGCTCTGCACACCCTGCTCAGCCCCGGGGGCACCACGTCTGCGACCTGCCACTAACCCCAGGGCGTCTGCAGCCCGGGCTCTGCTCCCGTCACTGCGCTGACACCGGGCTGCTTCCCGCACTCGCGGCGCCAAGCACTGTGCCCCAGGTTTGCGACAGAATCGCTGGGGTACAGCCACCCAGCCGGCAAGGGATCCCCCGGCCTCAAGTTCCTTCCTTTCTTTTTTTTCTTTTTTTTTTTTTTTAACTCCTCACCCAAGGGAAGGTTAATTGATTGTTGTTGTTGTCAATCCTCACCCGAAGATATTTTTTTCCATTGATTATTATTTTTTTAATATTTTATATTTTTATATATTTTTATTGCCCTAACCGGTTTGACTCAATGGATAGAGCATCAGTCTGCGGACTGAAGGGTCCCAGGCTCGATACCGGTCAAGGGCACATGCCTGGGTTGCGTGCAGGAGGCAACCCATCAATGATTCTCTCTCATCATTGATGTTTCTACCAGTATCTCTCTCTCCCTCTCCCTTCCTCTCTGAAATCAATTTTGATTTCAGAGAGGAAGGGAGAGGGAGAGATAGAAACATCAATGATGAGAGAATCACTGATGGGCTGCCTCCTACACGTTCCCCATTGGGGACTGAGCCTGCAACCCAGGCATGTGCCCTTGACAGGAATCGAACCGTGCCCTCCCGGTTCATAGGTCGACGCTCAACCACCAAGCCACGCCAATCGCAAGCCTCAGGTTTCTTATCGTGGGGCTCCACCCCGTCCCTGAAATCCTGGGGCCAATGTCACTTGGTTCACATTGAATTTTAGGTGCACATATCACATCTTACATGACGCCCCTAATGAGCTGAATAATGACACCCCCCTTCCAAGGTGTCCGCGTCCTAATCCTTGGAATCTCTGAATGACCGACCTTTTGTGACAAAAGGGACTTTGTAGATGAGATTAAGTTAAAGGCCTGGAGATTGGGGAAAAGACCCTGATTATCCAGGTGGACTTCATGAAGTCACAAGGGCCTTTGTAAGAGGAGGTGGGAGGGTCAGAGTCTGAGAAGATGCTACGCTTCGGCTTTGGAGATGGAGGGAAGGGGCCAGGAGCCAAGGAATGCAGGCGGGACCTGAACTGGAAAAGGCAGCGGCCGGTTCTGCCCTAGAGACTCCAGAAGGAACGGCCGGCTGACACTTTGCTTTCAGCCCCAGTGAAACTGACTTTGGACATCTGACACCCAGAACTACAAGGGAATAAATGTGTGTTGTCTTAAGCCACTAAATTTGTGGTGTTTTGTTATAGCAGCCACAGGAAACGGATACACTTCCACCTACAAATGTAATGCAACATTTGAATGTTTAACTAGCCTCCCACGGCCCTAGCCGGTTTGGTTCAGTGGATAGAGCGTCGGCTCACAGACTGAAGAGTCCCAGGTTCAAATCAGGTCAACGGGCAGGGGCCTCAGTTGTAGGCTTGATCCCCTGACCCCAGTCAGGGCACGTTCGGGGGACAACCAATTGATGTGTCTCTCCCTCTCCCTTCCACACTCTCTGAACAAAATAAAATAAAAACCAGCCCAGGCAAGGTGGCTCAGTGGTTGAGCGTCTACCTATGAATCAGGAGGTCAGGGTTCAATTCCCAGTCAGGGCACAGGCCCAGGTGGTGGGCTCGATCCCCAATGGTGCAGGAGACAGCCGATCAATGATTCTCTCTCATCATTGATGCTTCTCTCTCTCTCTCCCTCTCCCTTCCTCTCTCAAATCAATAAAAAAATATATATTTTTAAAAAACCAATGGAAAAATATCCTCGGGTGAGGATTAACAACAACAACAAAAATAAATAAATAAATAGCCTCCCGTGGGTTCAGAGCTGGCCGTGGCCTTTTGTTCCCATTTGCAGCTGGGGGAGGGGCGGGGGCGGCGGGGAGGGGGGCAGTGGTAGGCCTGGGGTGACAGGCACACCCCCAGCACCTGCTGTGTCCGCCCTGTGCTAAGCCCTGTGTGTGGCGTCAATCCTGGGCCCACAGGACGCAGTGAAGGCATTTCTGTTGGGAGCACCCCCAGAGGACAGTGGGGAAACGGGAGCCCAGAGAGGTTGGGTAACGCGCCCGAGCCACACAGCCAGGCCGTGGCCTGGGGAGCGTGGAACCCCAGGGGCCCCGTACCTTTCCGGAGGAAGGCACCATGGCGCTGGTCCAGCAGGCTGGGGGGCAGCAGCGAGAAGTTGGACATGGTGTTGGCCTTCATGGCATCGAAGGCCGAGTGAGCCACGACGGAGCCCAGCGCCTCCTCGCCCAGCTGCCGGCCCAGGAACTGGCAGACACGCTGCACGGAGCCGGGGAGGTCCTGCGGGCAGGAGAGAGGGGTCAGGCGAGAGGGGTCAGGTGGGAAGGCAGGAAGGGGGGGGGGGCGCAGCAGAGGGAGGGGACCCAGGCAAGGACGGAACGCCAGACCCAGACTTGTCTGGGTGACTCCACCTCTTTGCCTCCGTTTCCCCAGCTCCAAGCCAAGGGGTTGGGCTGTGGCCTCTGAGGGTTTGGGGATTGGGGAGGGTGCTGTGGGTGGGAGGGGAGGGGTGAGGCTGGGTCAGAGGTCACAGCAGGGGGCAGGGGGCAGTCCAGCCCCTGATGTAGAATCCTCCTCCTTCAGGTTAGAAATGGGGCATCAGCCAGTCTGTGCCCCAAACCTGCTCCTCCCCCAGGTCCCCAGCCCAGAACGGCCCCAGATTCCCCCAGTCACACGGCCAGACTTCCAGCCGGGCCTCCACGCCACCCCCCCCCCCCCGCCCCCCGCTCCCCTTCCCGCTCTCCCCTTCCCATGCACACCCCTGTCCTGTCAGTCATCAGCCCCTTCCCTCTGCCCTGGACTCTCCCTCCCCGTCCCCTCTGTGTCCCTGTGGCCCCGGCGCTGTTCAGGCCTGATTCTCTCCCGTGGACTCTTGTCCTGGCCTCTTCCCTGCCTCCCTGCCTCCAGTCCCCACACCCAGGCCCCAGCCTGCTCCCAGCCCCCCTGTGGCTCCCTAGGGCTAGGCCCTGACACAGTTCCAGTCCCCAGGCCTCACTTCCAGGGACCGGTGCTCCCCACCCCCTCCTCCTGGGACTCACCGTACCCTGCACTTCCTCCCTGTGGCCCTGGGCACGGGGCTGCCAGGCAAGCCCTGTGCCACCCTCCCCCCTGGCAGACACCCCTCCAGACGCAGCGCCAGTCTCTCCTCCCCGTGACAATGACGGTCCCAGTCCCCGTGGCCTGAGCGCCTACTGTGCGCCACGCTCTGCTCCGAGCCGCACCGGTACATCTGTGCCAATCCTGCCCACGGCCTCGCCGAGAGGAGTGAGTATCCGGCATCAGTACATGGAGGCCCAGAGCGGGGAAGACACGGGTCCAGGGTCCCGCAGCCAGGGAGGAGCTGAGATCTGGGCCCCAGAGCCCGCCGTCCTCCCTCTGCCTCGCTGCCTGGCTTGACCTGCACCTGCCGGTCGGCCTCCCGGTCAGCTCTGCCAGCCCCGCCAGCCCCGGCCCCGACGTTCCAGGTCATTCCTGGTTTCATAACCACCCACCCCTTTCTCCTCTTGAACCACAGGCTCGGCCCAGAAAGCCTCACACGTTGGCAGCTCCTCCCACCCAGGGGCAGCCCAGGAGCTCAGCTGGGCTGCATGGCCCAGTTTTGGGTTCGGAGGATGGAGCTGGATGGGAGAGAGGGGGCGGAGTGATGCCGAAATCTTTTCAGGGTCTTCCCGTCCACAGAAACGAGCCCCGGGGGCCCCAGGGAGGAGCCCCGGGGGCCCCAGCCAGGTTCCCACTCCCTCTGGGTTATCAGCCCCATTTCTGCCTCTAAATCTGGGACAGCCCTCGCCGGTGTGGCTCAGTGGATAGTGCGTCGGCCCGCGGACTGAAGGGTCCCGGGTTCGATTCCGGTCAAGGGCATGTACCTCGGTTGCAGGCTCAACCCCTGGGCCTGGTTAGGGCACGTGCAGGAGGCAACCTAATCGAAGTGTCTCTCTCACATCAACGTTTCTCTCTCTCCCTGTCTCTCCCTCCCCCTCCCACTCTCTCTAGAAATCCATGGAAACATATCCTCGGGTGAGGATTAAAACAGAAAAACCTGGGATGCTAACAATATTGGGGTGAGCCACATACAACTACCAAGTGTCGGCCGTTCCGTGTGGCTCAGCCCCGGGTGGCGCACCCGCCTGCGCTTTGTGAGGGTCAAATGAGAGGATCGTGTGCAGCCTTCGGTGCCGGCCTCGGCCATTATTGTTACCACTAATCAGATAGGCCCTCGCGCGGAGCCTGGTCGCCCTTACTTTACACACGGTACTGGCACCCGGGGGAGAGAGAGAGATGCCTTCGGGCTGGAGCAATCAGGGAAGGCTTCCTGGAAGAAGAGGCCATGCAGCGTGCCTACAGCTTTGCCCGGCTGCAAGGAGGACGCGCTGCGGCTTCTGACCTGGTCGGGGGTGACAACAGGCCGGTGCCAGGCGCTGTGGTCCTCACAACGGCCCCGCGACCTGGCGTTTCCCACCCACTTTAAGGATGAGATCTCCGAGGCTCTGAGAGATTTTAACGGCTTCACTGACACCGGAATCCAGGCTCTTCCCACACGAAAAAGGGGCTGACAGGCCCGCCTGGCGAGGCTCCCTATGGACTCTAGAACCGGGAGGTCACGGTTCAGTTCCCGGTTGGGCTCGATCCCCGGTGTGGGGCGTGCAGGAGGCAGCCCGTCCATGATTCTCTCTCGTTATTAATGTTTCTCTCTCTCCCTCTCCCTCTCCCTTCCTCTCTGTATTAAAAAAAAAAAAAAGTAGCGACAGAACAGAGAATACAAAACACACACGAAGTGAGGGGGCGAAAGGGGCAGATGGGGGACACCTGTGATACTGTCAAGGATGAAAAACGCCAAGTGTGCGTGCACACACACACACACACACACACACGAAGGGAACATGTCAGGCCGTGGGTGAGGGCGCCTCCCAGACTCCTGGGCTCTCAGGACAGACCTTCGCTCTAAACCTAGCACAGCTGGGCACGTGCACGGTGGGTTGTTCCGGCTGGAAGCCCAGTGCGTCCTCCTTGGAGCCGGGCAAAGCCGTAGGCACGCTGCATGGCCTCTTCTTCCAGGAAGCCTTCCCTGATTGCTCCAGCCCAAAGGCATCTCTCTCTCTCCCGGGTGCCTGTCCCAGGTTATGTCTGATGGGGCCCAGACAGGGTCCCAGTCTAACTCCCAAGGGTGTTCCCTTCCACTGCTTCCCTCTTCCTTCCAGATCACAGCCACCTACGCAGCTCACTTTCCGTAGCCGCCGTCCAACATGAGGTCATTGCTCCTATGGCCTCCCCTGCTCAGAAGCCACCTATGGCTCCCCCCGACTCAGAGGAAAGCCGCAGTCCTCACTGTCTGCCTTCATTCCCCCCCACTGCCCCCTCCCCCACACGCACACACACTCACTCGGCTCTGGCCAGGAGGCCTCCATCCAAGTACACGCACGCTCACCCCAGGGCCTTTGCACTGGCTGGTCCCTCTGCCCAGGACACTTTCCCCAGGTTGTCCATGGCTCCCTCTCCTCCCTTAGATGGTTGCTGTTGTCTTCTCTGGGGGGCCTCCCCCTCCACTTTTTTAAAAAAATAGGCCTCCTCCTCCCCCCTTCTTCTTCTTCTTCTTTTTTAAAATATATCTTTATTGATTTCAGAGAGGAAGGGAGAGGGAAAGAAACATCAATGATGAGAGAAAATCATTGATGGGCTGCCTCCTGCACGCCCCCTACTGGGGATCAAGCCCACAACCCAGGCATGTGCCCTTGACTGGAATCGAACCCGGGACCCTTCAGTGCACAGGCCCATGCTCTATCCACTGAGCCACACAGGCCAGGGCTCCACCTTCTTAAAATCCCGCCCACACAGTCCTGGCCCTTCTCTCCGCCTGCCCTTCTCCAGCTCTTCTCCCCTCGGCCCCCTAGTTTATCTCTGTCCCTGGTCCCGCTCCCGCTCGCGGCCTCAGGGACCCGGTTCTGTTCACTGCTGTCACCCAGTACCTGGTGCATCATCCACCGTGGAGGAGGCCTTACAGGAGGGGAAGTGGGGGGTGAGAGGAGGGGAGGAGAGGGGGGTGCTGCGCCAGGTGGGGTGTGGAGCCAGCACAGGGATAGGGGGCGGGGGGGGGGGTGTAGGGGGACGGGGGGAGTCACCTCCTGCAGCTCCTCGTAGGTGATAAACAGGAAGTTCTCTTTGCCCTGCATCCGAATCCAGCCTTTAATGTGGTCGAACCAGGAGCCGAACTGCACTGCGGGCAGAGGGGCGGAGGGGTGAGGGCCAGGCAGCGGGGCCCCCGCTGGGGCTCACGGGGGAGCGGGGGGCGCCTGACTAGCCCCCCTTGGCCCAGGCCTGGCCCCTCGGAGCTGGATGCCCCCCCCTCCGACCCCTGACACCTGGTGCCCGTGTCCCTCTGTCTCCCTGTCTCCCTGTCTCTCTGTCTGCATCCCTTTCTCTGCCTCCCTCTGTCTCTGGCGCTGTCCTTGCAGCTCAGCCTCTCTCTGGCTCCCTCTCCCTTTCTGTGGTGTCTTTGCTCCTCTCTCTCATCCCCCCTCTGCCCCTCTTCCCTCTGGGCCACAAGGGGCTCCCACCCCCGCCCCCGTCCTCACCTTCGCCTTTGAGGAAGTTCTGCAGGAACTGGTCAGGGGTGCCGGGGTCCTTCAGCTGCCCGGCGATCTTGGAGTAGTGATAGAGCGACACGGCCACGTCCCGGGGGTTCCGGCCCATGTAGATGACCTGCATGTGGTGTTGGGAGAGGAGAGAAGGCGTCTGTCACGGCGGCCGGCCCCCCGGCCCCGAGGCTGTGTTTTGAGCTCCGTTCCTGGCCCTGCAGCAGGAAGGACTCAGGGTAGACTTCCCAGGGGACTTCCCAGCTTCTGGCAGCTCAGATCCTTGCACCTCGTCCCAGAGAACCGGGAGCGCTCCCTCCAACCACATGCTGGGGGGAGGGAGGGAGGGAGGGAGGGGCTGTTTCTGGGTCAGGAGGAAGGACGGTTTGGCTTCAGGGGACACAGAGCAGAGGAGGAAAGGCACGGAGTTCAGGATGGGGGCGATCAGGGTGAGAGGTGTGGACCAATAGAGGAGGGACGCCGCCCCTCCTTCCTGTCCCCAGGGCCGAGGCCCCAGCCTCCTCCTCTCCTGCCTGGACCTCCGCCCCAGCCTCCTCCCTGGCCTCCCCGCCTCCACACAGCCGCAGGGGGTCTTTCTTCACCCCGCGAGGACCCCGCCCTCCTGGGTTCCCAGAGCCCCAGGACAGAGTCCCAGCCCCTGGGCCTGGCATTTGAAGCCTCAATTCCCTGGCTCCAATCTGTTAACCAGGTTTATATTCTACTAGAGGCCCAGTGCACGGCATTCGCACATGGGGGAGTCCCCTCAGCCTGGCCTGCGCCCTCTCGCAGTCTGGGACCCCTTGGCAGACATCCCCCGAGGGGTCCTTAGCGCTGTGCTCGCCAGCCGTGAGCCCGGCTTCTGGCTGAGCGGCGCTCCCCCTGGTGGTCAGTGCACATCATAGCACCTGGTCATTCCGCTGTTGTATCGATTTGCATATTAGGGTTTTATTCTATAGGATGAGCATCCCCCCCTTCCAGTTCCATCAGACATGTCCTTCCCTGTCAGCGGTCTCCTTTCCCAAGACCAAGGTCAGCCACATGGTGGTCAGCCACGTGCATATGACCAACCTCCAACAAAGCCCTGCCCGGCCGGCGTGGCTCAGTGGTTGAGCACTGACCTATGAACCAGGGGGACACATGATTCCCGGTCAGGACACATGCCCCGGTGGTGGGCTCCATCCCCAGTGTGGGACGTGCAGGAGGCAGCCCGTCAAAGATTCTCTCTCATTATGAATGTCCCTATCTCTCTCCCTCTCCCTACCTCTCTGAAATCAATAAAAACATATTAAAAAACAACCGCAACAAAAAACCCCGGGCCCCATGGCTCGGGTGAGCGTCCCCGGGGGCAATGCTCCGTGCTGGCCATCACGCGCTGTTCATGAGAGTCCACGGGGAGAGGCCACGGAAGCTGGCGCCGCGTCTCTGCTCGCCCCACGGGTTTCCACCCTTTCGCTAGACTGACCGTGACTGTGGGTCTACCAGCTTTGCCAGCTTCTGAGTCCCTCTAGTGAACCAGGGAGCCTGAGGGGGGCCTTGGGGACCCCTGGATTGCAGTCCCCATCTTGTCTCTATCTGCATTACTCGTCTACCTACCTACCTACCTACCTACCTATGTATCTACCGTCTACCTACCTACCTATTTATTGTCTACAAATTGCAAATGTCTGTGTCCAGCCCGGGTCTCTCCTGTCAAACCCAGATTCATCTCTCTCACTGCCCACTGGCAACCTCCACCTGGACGTGGATGGGCCACAGCAGAGCCCCCGACATCCCTCCCCGCCCCCCGCCTCTGCTCCCTGCCCTCCCCATCTCAGTTGATGACAGCCCAGCCCCATCCTCCCACTTCCTGAAGCTGAACGCCCTGGAGACACCCTTGACTCATGTTTCTCTCACACCCACATCCGATCTGTCGCCACATCGTCCTGGTTCACCTGAGAAAGCCAGCCTTTCTGCTTCACCTCCGCGGCCACCACCCAGGGCACCTCCCACCTGGACTCCGCAGTCGCCTCCTCCCAGCTCCTGCCGCCTTCGCGGGGGGGCAGTTCCCCACCTCGCCGCCAGAGGGCGCCAGTGAGCACCGCGGTCGGCCCCCCGCGGGGCTGGCTCAGCCTCCCCGGCCCCTGTCTCGCTCACCATAAGCCGCAGCCAACGCGGCCCTGCGCGGGTTTGGCCCGGTTACCTCCCTGGCCTCATTTCCACTCCTCCCCACCTCCCTCGCTCACCTGGTTCCGGCCACACAGGTCTTCTTGCTGGTCTTCAGACACATCACACCCACCAGAGGGCCTTTGCACCGACCCCCCCCCCCCCCCATTCCCCTGCCTGGGACCTTCTTCCCCCAAACACCCCCTGCCTTCTTCCTTCACCTCCCAGGTCTTTCCTCAAAAGAGACATTCTCACTGCGAACACCCTTGACCACCTATAACCGCAACCCCCACCCTACCTGTAACCCTCACCCTCTGCTCCGCGGCTGTGAGTTTTTCCATCTTGGACCTATTCAAGATTTTCCTTTTCCAGCCCATCTGTTCGCTGCCTGTCCGCCTTTAGAATGCGGACTCGCATTTATTTTTATTTTATTTTTTTACTGCTGTTCTAGGTCAGGGCCAGGACTAGTAGGTGCTCACTTAACGATGTGCCAACCTCATCGGTTGGCTATGCCCCCCCCCCCCTCCTCTCCCTCCGGCCGCACCTTGGCCTTGGAGTTGAAGAAGGCCTTTGTGAAGAGCTGGATGGGGAGGTGGGAGCTCATGAGGCGGGGGCTGGACTGGTCCGAGAGGCTGAAGGCTCCCATGATGGTCTCACACCAGGGCGCCCGCTTCCAGATGGGCACCGAGCGGATCCAGGAGGGGTCCCCGTCCTTGACGATCAAGCTGAGGATCTCGATCATCCAGTTGGTGCCTGGAGGGAGCAACGGGGGCAAATGAATCGGAGGTGGGGACGGGCGAAGGCGGGGAGGCGATGGGGCCGAGCCCGGCTCCCTTCACTGCACAAATGGCTGCGGGTTTCCGCACAACCGGCGGGGACGGGGTGGAGTTGGTTGTCTTTATTTTCAGAGCAGGAGACAGCTCGGAGAAATAAGGTCGCCGGCCCAGGTGGCGGAGCCGGGCAGCGGCGGGCGCGTGGCGGAGCCTGGCTAGCCCTCCGTCCAACCCCGTTTCCTTTTCCTGCGGGGACTGTGTGGCTCCTGCAGCTGTGTGGGCCCACGTGACTGAGCTGTAGCCAAGGACATGCAGGTGGCAGTGATGTGCGGCCGGTTCCAGGCCTGGCCCACTAAAACCTCCCATGTGACTGACTCCCCCGCCCCGGCTGCAGAGATGCCAGTGGAAACTGAGGCTCCCAAGGCAGGCAGAGCCACAGCCCGAAGGAGCCAGGCCACTGGGGTACACCATCCCCCCCCCACACACACACTTCCCTCCCTGTAGGACGAGAAATAAACATCTATTGGGCCCAGCTTCTCAGGTTCTGGGCTTATGTATTAGGGCCGAAGGACTCGCTAATACATGGGGCGGCGGGGGGGGGGGGGGGGGGGAGGAGGGGAGCTGGAATTGAATCCAGGCGTCGACTTAAAAAAAATCTCAGCTCTTTTACTGCCCCATCTTGGGAGTCACCCCCAGATTTTGGGGGGGCACAGATGACATGTAGGAGGAAGGGGCCTCATCAGTGATCCAGTTCACAGGCGTGGATTCTGGGAGACCACAGGCAAGTCAGACCAGAAGTGATGATGGTGATGGTGATGCTGATGCTGCTAGCAACCGCCTCTCGTGAGTATTATGTTGCCTGGGCTTCTAACAGGGACCCTGGGCCAGTTCTCCGGGCCCTGCCTCTCGGCTCCAGATCCCCTCTCGGTTGCCCTGTGCTGAGATGCTGAGATGCTGAGATGCTGAGATGCTGAGATGCTGGGGCTGGACCCGCTCCCCGCCGCGCCCGCCCCGCCCGCCCCGCAAACATTTCTCCTCTGCCGGCCGGCGCAATGCCCAGGGCCGTCAGTAGAGGGCGCTGGAGGAACCCTGCAGGCAGAGGATGGGCCTTTCATAGGCTCCTCTCCCGGGCTGCGTGATGGACAGAGGCCCCGCTGCCAGGGACCCGGGGACACTCACTGCCCGCCCCCCCCCCGCCCCCCGCCCCCCCAACGCCCGGCTGGCGTGGTTCAGTGGGTACCGGTTCCTGCTGGGGTGATGGGAATGTTCTAAATTGGACGGTGGTGATGGGTGCCCAGCTGTGAATATCCGGCAGCCACAGAATTGCACTTTAAAACGGGTGAATCGGCCCGGCTGGCGTGGCTCAGCGGTTGAGCATCGACCTATGAACCAGGGGGTCACGGTTGCCTTCGCCCCTTGGCAGTGCCACCCCCTGTTGCCAGGGAAGAATGCTTTCTTGGTGGTACAACATACGGAACGTGAAACTGGCCAGCGCACCCGTTTGAAGGGTACAGTTCGGTGGCGTTAAGTCACTCCCTGTGGGTGCCAGCGTCACCACCGGGCACCTCGGGCACAGCCTGCTGTCTGGGGGACAGGTTGCCACTGGGTGCCCGGAGGGACCTTGGCCGTCTCCACCACCATTGCCAATGCACAGCCCTTCGACCAAGCAATTCCGTACCCTGGAGTTTATTCTCCATAATAAAAACAAACAAACACGTGTGCAAGTGTGTACCCGTGCACGCGATGCATGTGCGAGAAGGGGGATCGTGCATACAGCTCACACCGTGGGCCCAGCCGGCGTGGCTCAGTGGACAGAGCGTCGGCCTGCGGATTGAAGGGTCCTGGGTTCGATTCCGGCCAAGAGCACATGCCCGGGTTGCAGGTTCAACCCCCCAGCAGGGGGCGTGCAAATCAATGATTCTCTCTCATACTTGATGTTTCTCTCTCTCCCTCTCCCTTCCTCTCTGGAATCAATAAAAACATATTTTTTTTTTTTTAAAAAAACATATTTTTTAAAGAAAGCTTACATTGTGCTAAAGGCAAAGGATTGGAAGGTGGTGAGTGCGCGTCAGCGAGGAGCTGGTGGAGACGGACCAGGCCAGCGTGACGGTGAGTGAGAGAAGCGGTCAGAGGCCACGCAGTGTCCGATTCCAATGATTTGAAATTTCCAGAGCAGGCGAAGCCAGGACAGAAGCGGATTAATGATCCCCGGGGCCTGGGGGCAGGAATGTGGGGCTGGGAGGTGATGGCTAGTGTGTACCTGTTTCCTGCTGGGGTGATGGGAATGTTCTAAAATTGACGGTAGTGATGGGTGCCCAGCTGTGAATGCCCAGCAGCATAGAATTGCACTTTAAAACGGGTGAATCGGCCCGGCTGGCGTGGCTCAGCGGTTGAGCGTCAGCCTATGAACCAGGGGGTCACGGTTCGATTCCCGGTCAGGGCACATGCCCGGCTTGCGGGCTCGATCCCCAGTGGGGGGCGTGCAGGAGGCGGCCGATCGATGATTCTCTCTCATCACTGATGTTTCTTTCTCTCTCTCCCTTTCTCTCTGAAATCAATGAAAATAGTTTAAAATGGGCGAGTGGATGGTGTGAATTGTATCTCAAAGCTGCTCCCCAAAACAACCCCCGTAGAGCTCCATGCCGAAGGGGTGAATGTCACATTTTGAAAAATTTCACAAATATTTTGGAAATAGAGGTGCCAACCCATCATTTTATTATTTTTTTATAATATATTTCTTTATTGATTTCAGAGAGAAAGGGATGAGAGAGAATCATTGATCGGTTGCCTCCTGCACGCCCTGCACTGAGGATGGAGCCCGCAACCCAGGCATGTGCCCTTGGCCGGAATCGAACCCGGGACCCTTCCGGTCCGCAGGCCGACGCTTTATCCACTGAGCCAAGCCGGCCAGGGCGCCAACCCATCCTTTTAGAGAAGAAAATGCCGAAGTTTGTCGCTCTCACTAAAACCTCCCGAAAGGACTTTGAGTGAAGGCACCGCAAGCCTCGCTCCTCCCTCCCTCCCATCTTCTCCCCCCTCCCCCTCCCTCCCCTTTTCTCCCCCTCCCCCTCCCCCTCCCTCCCTTTCTTCAACAAACATGCATTGAAGGCTTATGATGTGCCCGGCCCTGTTTCAGGCTCAGAGAACCCAGCCGTGAACAAGACGAACGAAAACATTTGCCCGCACAGAGCTCAGATTCTAGTGGGAAACCTGAGGGCAAATCAAGATAAAATATGCAGCTGCTGGCAGCATTCCATGGGGCAGGGGATGAGGAGGTTAAGGGGATGGAGAGGGACAGGAGGGGGACGCTCTTTTATTTATTTTTATTTTTTAAAAATATATTATTATTGATTCCAGAGAGGAAGGGAGAGGGAGAGATAGAAACATCCATGATGAGAGAGAATCATTGATCGGCTGCCTCCCGCACGCCCCCTGCTGGGGATCGAGCCTGCAACCCAGGCATGTGCGCTTGACCGGAATCGAACCGGGGACCCTTCAGGCCACAGGCCGAAGCTCTACCCACTGAGCAACACCAGCCAGGGCGGACGGGGGGGTGGGGGTGGGGGTGGGAGGGTGGGGGCGGGGATGCTGTTTTAGCCACGGAGGTCAGGGAAGGCTCCCTGGGGCCCTGAGCGCTGACCTGGGGCAGGAAAGGGACCTGGGAGAGGGGTGCTCCTGGGGGGCAGGACCCGCCAGGACAAAGGCCAAGGCCGACCCGTTAAGAACAGCCCATTGTCCTGGGTGCCCTCTTCCCCCCCTCCCCCCGCCCGCAGGTACCTGACTTGGGGTAGGTGACGATGAAGATGTCGTCGTCCTGCACCTCCGCGTTCTCCGTGATGCTGATGCTCTCGGGGGAGTAGATGCCCACGGGGAAGGGGATGCCTTTGTACCGGAAGTATTCGCCCGACAGCTTCTGTCTGCAGGAGTGGGGGAGACACCGTGAGAACGGGGAGCAGGGGAGGTCAGAGGTCGCCGGGAGGGTGCAGGGCCTGGGCCTGTCCGTGTCCAGCTTCACGGCTGAGGTCACCGGGACACACGTGGCAGACAGCAGACTCTCCGCGGGGGGGAGGGGGGAGGGAGGAGGGGAGGGAGGGGCACCCCCTCCTGGTGGGACCTTGGGGAGGAGCTTTCTCTGCACCTCATTTTGGCATCTGCCCCGTGCCAATGGGGGACTGAAACCCCGCAACAGCCCTGCGAGGTGACAATGATTATCATCCTCTTGTTATGGGTGAAGGAAGCCAGGCACAGAGAGGGTGAGTGACTTGCCCAAAGCCACACAGCTGGCGGGAGGTGGAGCACCTCCCATGTGCACAGTGGGGCTAAGTGCTTTCCAGACACGGCCTCTTCACCCCACCTCCCAAGGCGGACGCTAAGGCCCCACCGCTTTCCCCCAACGGGGAAACCGAGGCCCAAGAAGCCAGCCAGGCCCCCGTGCGGCAGAGCCCCCCTGCCAACCCACACGTCCAGCCACTGAGAAGCTGAAACAGTATTTAAAAAGAAAGAAAGAAAGAAAGAAAGAAAGAAAGAAAGAAAGAAAGAAAGAAAACTATATTTTTATTGGTTTCAGAGAGGAAGGAAGAGGAAGATAGAAACATCCATGATGACAGACTCATTGATCGGCTGCCTCCTGCACGCCCCCCACTGGGGATCGAGCTCACAACCCGGGCAGGTGCCCTGACCGGGAACCGAACCCTGGCCTCCTGGTTCATAGGTTGACGCTCAACCATTGAGCCACACTGGCCGGGTCCCTCACTCCAGCTGCCTTCCCAAACCACGGCGTGAAGCTGCCCAAAGGGAGATGGTTTAAGAGCTCCCTGCTTCCTCTGCTGCCTCCCCCCTGCACGTCCCCCCCCCCGCCCCCCCGTCCCCTCCTGTGTGTGGTGTGGGAGAAGGACCAGGGTTTGGGGACCCGACGGAGGTGACGTTGCGTTGGGGCCACGCTTCGCTGGGCGCCTGTGGGGGCTGATACATTCACAGTCACGTCTGTGTGGTTGCAGCGAGCCTGCCGGGCGCGGGCCTGGGGCGTGAGGACCCAGGGCCTGGGATTACGGGGTCACGCGTTCCAGGGCTCCGGGCACCGCAGTACACGGCGAGGAGGCGCAGGGTGGAAGCATGCCAACCGGAAGCTGGCACGTTACGCGCCTGGGCTGTGCGGAGTGTTGGTCAGCTTTCCAAAGGAAGCAAGTCGCTGTAGTCTAGTCTTTTCACATTCTCAATAGCCAGTCCCTCTACCTAACGGTCTTGTCACCTGTATTGGTTCTTTTTTGTTTTTTAAAATATTTTTTTTATTGATTTCAGAGAGGAAGGGAGAGGAAGAGAGAGATAGAATACACTGAACTGGGGGTGGGGATTGTAAGGTTATATCGTCTGTGGATTTTATTTCAAGTTATGGAAGAGAATGTTTCAACTCTTCTGTTGTATAAGGAGGGTTGGAGTTCAACCGCACAGACACAAGCTCAGAACCATGCCCTGGCCAGCGTGGCTCAGTTGGTAGGAGCACCGTCCCGCGCACCAAACGGTTGCAGGTTCGATTCCTGGTCAGGGCACATACCTGGGCTTTGGGTTCGATACCCAGTTGGTGCATATGGGAGGCAACAGATCAATGTTTCTCTCTCACATCGATGTTTCTCTCTCTATATATATCCCCGTCCTTTCCTCTCTCTCTAAAAATCAATAAAAACAAAAACAGCCCGGCCGGTCTGGCTCAGTGGTTGAGCATCAACCTATGACCCAGGAGGTCACGGTTCGATTCCCTGTCAAGGGCACATGCCCGGACTGTGGGCTTGATCCCCAGTGTGGGGCGTGCAGGAGGCAGCCGATCAATGATTCTCTTTCATCATGGATGTTTCTGTCTCTCTCTCCCTCTCCCTTCCTCTCTGAAATCAATAAAAATATATTTTTTAAAAAAAACAAACAAAAAACCTTGAAACAACGTTGAACGAAAAATGAGGGACCCAAGAGCATCTGTCCACTTATGGGAAGTTCAAAGCCAGGACAAAGTGGCCTATGGTGTTAGAAGGCGGGTGCTGGTGGCCCTTGGAGGACTGGGTGATTGTGGGTAGAGGCAGACCGGGGCTGGTTATATATTGTGCCCACTTTGCAGAATTCATCGAGCCATTGCACGGCACTCAAGTGCGTTTTACTTTAAGAAAACACTCACTGAATGAATGAATGAATGAATGAATGAATGAATGAATGAATAAAGCATTAAAGGGAAAAAAAATACTCTTCCCATGAAAACAACTGCCTTTAACAAAAAGGAGGCGAGGGGTTGCGCCCAGTGAGGTCAAAAACCCAGTGGCTTGCAGAGGCCTTTTCTGTTAGCTCCTCCTTGTCTGCCCAGTTGACAGAGGAGGAGACTGAGGCCGCTGAGGGCTGCGACTTGCCCAGCAAGCTCCAGTGTCTTTCCTGAAGGCCTCCCTCCCCAGCTGCGGAGCCCTGTGGGATGGGGGGCGGGGGGGGGGGGGGGGTCAGGTTGGAGCAGAAGGACAAAGCTAGAGAACTGTGCCCTCTGCCTGGGGTCCCGGGAGGGCTCGGGGAGCCTGGTGAGGCCCAGCCCGGCCAGCCAAGGTTTCCAGAGGGGAAGCCGGCCTGTGCTCTATGGTCTGCTGGTGCAGGGCCCCTTGTCCCTGGCTGGGGCTGCTCCCCAGGGAGCAGGGAGGGAGGGCTGGCCACCTCAGAGGGGTGGGGGTGGGGACTTGCAGGCCCAAAGCGGTACCGGCGTGAATAAGAGTTCTGTTCTGGAGCTGGGTGTCACGTGCTCGGAGTCTGGCTGACGTCACTCTGTGCCTCAGTTTCCTCAACGGTAACACGGGGATAGAGGAGCAGCACAGTGTCTTGGTTAACTGTATAAACCCTGGAGCCAGAATACGTGGCTTTGAAGCCCATGTCCCAGCAGCTGCGGGGCTGTGGGCAAGTCGCTGAACCTCTCTGTGCCTCGGTTTCTTCATCCATAAAATGGGAATAATCATCATCATTACCTCCAGGGGGAAAAAAGTGCTTAGAACTGTGCCTGGCACGGAGTGAGCACAATATAAATGCTTGTTAGTTTTTAACATTAGAAATAGTGGGCGGGTTTAACGTGTCAATAGCCGTAAACATGATTGGCTCATGGTCTGCAGCAATAACTCAGGGCTAACGTTATTATTATTATACTCAAGACAGAGGCGACACTGGACATCGGGTGAACCCAGAGGAGGGGCTGCTTAGCACAGCATGGCGTTTGGCACTTAGTAGGCCCTCGTCACATCATAATGACTTTATTGTTCGGTGACGCTATCAGGTCCCCCATAGGTTGAGCCCGGAGGGTAGTCTTAGTGATGTCACCGGTTGCCAGGCAGATTTAGCCCCGCGGATGGGAGCTGTGAGGTCATCAGTTACCAGGCAGATTAACAGCTTAAGTGCCTGGACCTGGGCGCTCTCTGTGCCTCTGGCAACAGCTCACACTTCTTTGAGCCTCAGTTTCCTCATCGGTCCCACGAGGAAAAGGCACTTTCTACCTCGGGGATCTAATCCTACCTGAGGGTTAAAAGGAATAAAAATGTGAAGCGCCTGGCTCCTGACAAATGCCGAGGAAGCCGACGCTGTGGTTGGCCGCCAGCGTCAGCTCAGTCTTTGATCTCCAGACAGACAGCTCCTCGGGGAAATGTCCTCCCCAGTTTACAGGAGAGGGACACCGAGATGCCGGCGAGGAAAGGATCCTGTGCCCTTCAGGGGCGCCTGGGTCTTCACTGAACGCTTAAACGAGCCGTTACCATCTCCAAACCGGCCCGAGCCACAGCCCAGGAAGCCAGGGCGGGATCCACAGCGCTGGGACATGGCCCGTGCGCAATCGGTATGTGGCTGAATGAATGAGTGTGATATGAATGAATGAATTTGTGTGATGAATGTGTGAGTGAATGAATAATGTGTGAGGAATGAATGAATGAGTGTGTAAGTGAATGAATGTATGAGTGCGTGAATGAATGAATGAGTGAATGAGTGTGTAAGTGAATGAATGAGTGATGAATGAATGTGTGCTGAATGAATGAATTTGTGTGAGTGAATGAATGAATGAGTGTGTAAGTGAATGAATGAGTGTGTAAGTGAATGAATGAATGTGTGATGAATGAGTGTGTGAATGCATGAAGGGCTTTAGCAGGAAACAAGTGAAGGAAAGTCGCAGAGCACTGGTTATGTCCTCCACCCGCCTCCCTGGTTCTCCGTCCCAGGCACTTTAGAGTCCTCCGTGGGGCCCTCAGAGACCCCCAAAGCCGGGCCTCCTTCCAGGCCAGCAGCGTCCACACACCTGTGCCCTCGGAGCGCAGAACAACCAGCTGCTCAACAAATAACCGAGCATCAATATTCACTGAATACGAGGCGAATGGGGGAGCGGCCCAAATCTCCTTGTACGTGATGACGCTACGGGTGAGAACATGGGGGTGCGGGGAGCGGAGCGACATGGCCAAGGCCACACAGCACGCACTAAGCCCAGCTGGGGTTTGAACCTCAGTCCTCTAGACAGTTTCTGTCCCGGCCCCTCCTTGGACCCCACACTCCAGATAAAGCCCCCCTGCCCCCCCACTCCCGCCAGGTACTGAGCACGATTCCCATCTCCGGGCCGTTGCACCTGCTGCTCCACCTGCCAGGGGTGCACCCCCCCCCCACTTCCCGCCACCCCCGCCACTTCCCCGCCTGTCTCTGTGCTTGTGCACCAGGGAGGCCCCGCCCGGACTCCTGCTGGGCCGAATCGCACGGAGTGTCCTGAACACGGGTGCCGTGCGCCTTCGCTCCCACCTCGGACCTCCCATCTGGCCCAGGGTGACCGTCCTCCCCGGGTCGCGAGCCGTGGGGTTCCCACACCGCGTCCGGGGCCTGGCGCGCCGCTGCCGCTTGATCGGAGCAGAGGAATGAGGAGGACACCTGAGCCGGCCAGAGG